AAGGTAAGGTCATACATTTAATCAAATTGCCCTATTCTAGTTATCCTTTTATCCATTAATAAATAATTTCTCTTAGTGATGGCCAATTCCTTTTTGCTCTTATCTCGCAATTCCAGTGGATATCCCATCTGAAAAAATGATTGGTATTAATATATTTTAAAAAATTACCCAGAGCATCTTCAATGCCATGCCAGATTATGATAATGCCATCTATAAAGTGTTCCACAGCACCATGTTTGTCCTCCAGAAGTAACAATTTTGTAAATTTTCACCTCTATAAATCACTAGAATTTGGAAGTCTCTTGAACTGATTCTAGCCTCATTTCATTTTAACAAATTGGGTTTTGGGTATCCTTGCTTAAAACTCTTTCTTTTTGTTCTTTGATGTAGCTAGATGCTGCTTGTGCATGCAATGGCCCATGAGTATGGTTCAATATAAATTGCATGGGAGTCTTTTAAACAAAAATCACTATTATGGCACTTAATGCTCAGGGAAATGTGTCTCTGAATGGGAGGAGTTGACTTATTAGGACTATCAAAATGTGGGAGCCCTGTTATTAACATTGTTTTAGTGGATATTGCTCTATTACGCAACTTACTTTTTGCACACTCATTGTCGGCATGGTTAACTTCTGCAGTAAACTGCAGCCACACACTGTGAATATTACTGAGGGAAGAAGCCTACAATTTTCAAAGCACAAGCAATGGCACAGAAGCACATTGCAAATCAAATAATCTGTCTCTTACTAGAAAAAAATAAATAATCAGAAATCAGTAAAACAATTATAAATCAGTAAATCAAAGTGGTTGTAAGTGGAACTGGCAGTAGCATCTAGGCAAGAACTCTTGTTTTCCTGTTTGTAGGTAGCACTGGACCTGCTGCCTTCTCTAGTACATTCATGTTCTGCTTCTTTCCTCAGCAATACATACTTGTGGTATCTCTACTGATGTTGCTTCATACCAACACAAGTGAGATGAGCCTTCATTCGCCCCCTACTCACCTTCTTGCCACGCAATTTTCACTTTGCAAGTTAGCCTTCTTGGAAGCACTCACAGTGATACCAAACTTTACTTTGTTGGCCCAATATATTAACCTCAACCCTTTGCCTTTTGTCTGATGAAGATTGAGGTGGATTTGCATCTTTTGCAGTGGAAGCTACTGCAACACATGTTTCACTTGGTTCATTAATGCTTATGGACATATTGAAGGTAACTGTATAGGTGATGTTGATGGTCGTAGTATTGGTGGTGATGGTAACATTAACAGTGAGTGACCTACTTGTGCCAGTGGTAGTAGTGCAAATTATGTCACCTTTACTGTCTCCGCTGGATGAGGCACTTCTATAGCAGTTACAGATGGACTTTGAATACCGAGGAGAAGATGTAGGAAGCGAGTGCTGAAGAAAATATTGGGCTGATGCTTGCGCTCTTCACACTATTCTCTACCTCTGGCTCATCATCACTCACATCATACTCATAGTTCTGTATATCCAGGGCCAGACATAAAATTGCTATGTCTGCAGTTGATACGGGAAACAGAATTCTCATCATCAGATTCATCTCCACCAGCACCACCAACAACAGACATTGGGGACACTACTTTGGTACTGTCATGGGGCGCCCAAAGAGACAGGTGCACCACACTCACTCACCAGATGTTGACTTCAGCAGAGACTCCACGTGGGTCGCAGTGTACCGGAAGTGAGGGCAACAGCTTGCTTGATCCCCAGCGGCAAGCGCCAGAGGGAATACACTTGGATTGCTGTACACTGGGCATGAAAGGCATGCAACGCTTACTGCTGGTCCATACAAAAGTGGGTTTTGGCATGCCAGGAGAGGGAGAAGTGTCATGTGCATCCTCCGTCTGGCACTCAGTGTTATGCCCTACCTGGTGTTCCCCACTCTGCTCTAGGTTCCGCTCAGGGTGTCAGAAGCCTAGTAAACCCAGCTCAAACCGTAGGGGAGCAGTGTGTGAAGCAACAGGATGAGAATGAAGTCCAGCATAGCATCCAACCAAAGGTTAAACCTGTTTCCTGACTTTTAACCTTTATGTCCTTGCTTTGACCCTTGCCAGGCTGACCCTTCCTTTGGATTATCCTGCTAAGGACTTCAAGCCTGCTTCCTAATCCTGGACCTTTGCTGCCTGACTCTGACCTTGGCTTACCTGACCTTGCTTCTGGATTGTCCTACCAACTTTGACACATTCTGGGTTTCAGAGACTATGTCCTAAAGTGACAGTGCCTTGCTCGCTCTGACATACTGAGCTTATTCACCCAAAACCATTACAAGTATTCTGCACTAAATCCTCACTAAAGAGGGACTCTAATGACACAAAGTAGACTATGCTGCTGTCTCCCATTGTTGCTTATTGGGGGTGTAATCAGTGGCTTAACTATCTTGGTCGCAGGGGTTACAGCTGCAACCAGGCCCGTCACTCCAGGAGGCCCGTCCTCCCTGTCAACTCTATGATTGTGGGCTGACATAACTTCATAGCCAGTGCACGGCCAGACAGGCCAGAGGCATTCAGGGGCTAGGTGACCATCAGGAGGGGAGTACACAACATAGCGCTCCCCTCCTGCCAGTCACTGAACTCCCCTCCTGCCAGTCACTGAACTCCCCTCCTGCCAGTCACTTCCTGTCACAGCGCGTACCTTGGACCGTTCAGCCATGAAGGTGAACAAGTACAGGAGGAAAGTAGGATTGGGCGAGACATATAGCGGGGCTTGGTGGAAGGGTCACATGGAGGAGCCTGGGGTGTGTGGGTAGACACATGGAGTGGCTGGTGATGGTGCGAGAGACACATGGGGGTCCCAGGGCATTTTTTCGCATTGGGGCCCAATGGTTTCTAATTACACCTCTGGGTATAATGCTTGAACTAGCTCTGGTAGAAGGAGATACAGTGCCAGTGGAAACTGTAGCACAAGTTGTTGCAGCATGAAAATAATTAGATTGCCTCCTGGATATTGAATCAGAACATAAAGGACATGCTGCTACACTACACTTTTTCGACCTGCTTTTTGGTAAGTAAAAGGATCAAGATTTTGGCAGAAGGGATCTTTCTCTGGGCTCTTGAAATACCATCAGCAGACCATTGTACATTTAAAGGGGCATAGACCTGTGTATAAAAAAAAAAAATACACAGCGAGGTAGTATAAGTAATCTTCCAGATCACCTGAAAATTATGTTTTACAATGATATTGTTAATGTATCACATAAGCCCTAAGTGTTCTCTACTAAAAGCCAAATAAGCTTTATTTCCCCCCACAAAACTATTCAAGCATAAAATTATTTTTTAATGACATATGCAGATAGTTCACCATTAAAAATAGGGAGATGGCCATTAGAGCAAATCCCAAAAATGACAAAAAGAGACATGAAACTAACAATTCTAGAAATATCACACGTCTAATTCCCCAAGAAACTTGACAGCCCCAGTAGCTCCAGCAGAGGTGGGGTCAAGGGTCAGCCTCCAGTTAAGCAATCTACTTGGCTTTTATGAGCATTTGGTGCACTGTCCAAGAGGTTCAAGGAGGTGTTTTATTTTTACCCAACTGCACATCAAACACCATACTACACCCCAAACACACAGTGCACCCCTCACACACACACTGCACCCCAAACACCACACAACACCCCAAACACACTGCACACAAACAACACACAGCACCCTTCACACACATTGCGCCCTTCACACACAGTGCACCCCTCACACACACACACTGCACCCCAAACACCACACAGCACCCCTCACACGCACACTGCACCCCAAACACACACACACTGCACCCCAAACACCACACAGCACCACAAGCACACAGTGCACCGTTCACACACAGTGCACCCTTCACAAACACATACTGCACCCCTTACGCACACACACACACACACTGCACCCCAAAAACACAGTGCACCCTTCACACACACTGCATCCCCCCCACACACATTGCACCCCTCACACACCCTACAACCCTCACACACAGTGCACCCTTCAAACCCAGTGCATCCCTTACAAACACTACACCCCTACACACATTAAATTCCAGACACACACACTACATGCCCTACATACAATAGATCCCCTATAGGCACACACTGCATTACCTACACACACTACATTAATGACATAAACACTCTGGATCCCCTATGAACACACTAGATTCCCTGTAAGCAAACACACACTATTTTTCCTAAACACACACACTTTGCAACCCCTACACACTACATCATCTATACACACATACAATACAGCCCATATGTACACACTCGCTACATGCCCTATACTCACACTCTCTACAGCCCCTAGCCATACATATTACACCACAAACACAACACAACTGAAACCAACATTTACACAAAACACCACACCACAATCAACAAACTCTACACACATGCAATCCTACAAGCAGGCTCTTGTACAATACGCTTTCCTTACACTTTTGTCCTTTGGTATCCCACTTATGGAGACACCGGAGACATGTCACAAGCAAACACAGTGCAAGCATGTTATTACATTTGCTTGCACTGCATAGAACAAATACAGGGCCTTTTTTTCATGTGAGAGCTCTGCGCATTGAACCAACATGCTCACTTTGAGAGGGGGCGTGCTTGTCATTGGTGATGACAAAACACCCCCCCCTCTGGCCCCCCTTCTCAGTAAGCCTTGTGATTCAAAAATGCCCGGACCAAATTTTTTCCAAGTCCAGCCCTGTGGGCAGCCCATGCGGGGCTTTCAAAGTTGTGCTTCCTGTTTGTGAAAGGCTGTCTGGAAGGGAGAGGGGTGAGCAGGGAGGCTACTGACATAGAGAGGAGGTGAGCAGGGAGGCATTTTTGACTGCAGACCTGGGATTACACATATACCTTTAATAGTACTATGCTACCTACATACATTGTAAAGTCCTATCTCATCAATAGAGATGTCGCGAACTGTCCACCGAACTGTTCGCGAACTGTCCGCCGGCGAAGAATAGCATGTTCGCGTTGGGCGAACATATCCGATATCCGGTCCGCCCCCTATACGTCATCATTGAGTAAACTTTGACCTGGAACCTCACAGCCAGCAGACACATTCCACCCAATCATCAGCAGACCCTCCCTCCCAGGAAGTGTCTGCTGACTGTGAGGTTCCGGGTCAAAGTTTACTCAATGATGACGTATAGGGGGCGGACCGGATATCGGATATGTTCGCCCAACGCGAACACGCTATTGTTCGCCAGCGGACAGTTCGCGAACAGTTCAACAGTTCAACAATTTAAGGAAAAACTACTAAAGGAGGGTTCCACATTATTAAGCAAAGCACCATTTTCATGCAATATGGGGAAGAAAAAGGATATCTCTACTGCCGAAAAGAGTGAAATAGTTCAATGCCTTGGATGAGGTATGAAAATATTAGATATTTCATGAAAATGTAAGCGTGATCATCGCACTATTAAGAGATTTGTGGCTGATTCAGAGCACAGATGGGTTTGTGCAGATAAAGGCACATTGAGGAAGATTTCTACCAGATCCATGCATCGGATCAAGAGAGCAGCTGATATAATACCATTACATAGCAGCAAACAGATATTTGAAGCTGCTGGTGCCTCTGGAGTCACACGGACATCAAGGTGTAGAGTCCTCCAGAGTCTTGCAACTGAAGACTAATTTTCAAACATTCCTGTTCACTGATGAGTGCTGTGCAACCCTGGATGGTCCAGATGGATAGAGTAGTGGATGGTTGGTGGACGGTCACCCTGTTCAAACAAGGCTGTGACGTCAGCAAGGCGGTGGTGGAGTCATGTTTTGGGCCGGAATCATGGGAAGAGAGCTGGTCAGCCCCTTTAGGGTCCCCAAAGGTGTAAAGATGACCTCTGCAAAGTATGTGGAGTTTCTGACTGACCACTTTCTTCCCTGGTATAGAAGGAAGAACTATGCTTTCCGTAATAAAATCATCTTCATGCATGACAATGCACCATCCCATGCTGCAAAGAATACCTCTGCATCAATGGCTGCTATGGGGATAAAAGGAGAGAAAGTCATGGTGTGGCCTCCATCCTCCCCTGACCTCAATCCTATTGAGAACCTTTGGAGCATCCTCAAGCAAAAGATCTATGAGGGTGGGAGGCAGTTTAGACCCAAACAGCAGCTCTGGGAGGCTATTCTGACATCTTGCAAACAAATTCAAGCAGAAACTGTCCAAAAACTCATAAGTTCAATGGATGCAAGACTTGTGAAGCTGCTATCAAATAAGGGGTCCTAAGTTAAAATGTAACATGACCTGTTAAAATGTTTAAAAAGTTAAAATGTTGTTATAAGTTTGATTGAAATAGCTTTTGATTTCAGTAGATATGCTGCAAATACAACAAATGACAATTTTCAGTTCTTTACAACCTATAAAGTGTTTTGAAACTTGTGTAATAATTTTACAGTGCATTGTAAGTTTTTTTATGCTTAAAAAAATACTGTTATCATTAGGAGGTTTGTTCAATAAAATTTGAATTGTACTCTTAATAGTTGATAACATGAGAATTATGCTGACTGTTATTTACATCAATTATTTAGGTAAATGAGATAAGTATCATTTGCATAATAATTTGGAGCAGGGTGTACTACTTTATTCTCAATTTGTCAATATTCTGACTCACTATTAAACATTGCAATAAAAACAAAAATAGTATTTCCTTTCTGTCCTGGAAGCCCCCACTCCAACCCCAAAAAATGAAACAGCTAATAGTCAAACCAGCACCAAGGCCTGCAGCCCTCATATGCTGACATCACTTCCCCTCACAGATATAATGGAATTAGAGCTAAGCAGAGGACATTGGAAGCACGGATGGGCTGTTGACGACAGACACCAGACATGTACTGAAATAACATCAGCCACCAGGAACTCTTGTTTGGGCTGGCTAAATGTCTCTTCCAGAGGTGGAGTTACACCTCCGGCAGCAGAGGTATTATATGCTGTATGTGCAGTGTTTGCCAAATGCCGCACATACAGACTCCTGGCACCATGACCTCCTTGGGAGTGGGGAGGTAGAAATAGCTTAAATGGATACTGTAAGCACCATAACCACTACATCCCACTAACTTTCTCTGCCAATGAATAATGTGAAAAGTTGCGCAAAATTGAAAAGGAATCATGTGAATATTGGAAGCAAGGCGAGCAATTGGAGGGACCCAGTTAAGTTTTAAATTGTTCACAAATGGTTTTACCCCTTAACAGAGAATGACACTAAAGAACTCCTGGCACCATAACCAATACAGCAGACTATAGCAGAGTTTGAACACATTGTATGCTAAATGTTTCCACATCACGCCATCTGTGGTAACAATTAGGAACAATGCAAATAAACACCCAGTGGTTTGGAACTGACATGTTGCTTTTATTTGTTCTTAGCCTGATAACTGAAGATTAGACTCAATCCTGCTGATTAAATATGTATAGATTTCATTAAAGATTCAGATGATTACATTTTTTTCCCTTTCATAGCAAATTTACAATAATCCTTTCACGCAGATTTAATTATACATTATCTTGCATGATTGCTTTTCTGCTCTTCCTCCAGCACTGGACTTCTCTACACATAATGACAGACTCAAAATTATGAAAATGAGAGAAAATCAAAATTTCAATTTTTTTCTATTAATAGTTTATTGCCATTTTTTTTCCTTTGGACAGAGATAAATCCAGTAATATACCGTCATGTTATACAATTATAAACAACTGGTTGACACAGTTTCAATTGATGCCAAGGTTTGAGAAATGAAGGAAAATATAGAAAAGAAGAAGAGAAGAAAAAAAAAGGGAAAAGCAACTTATATACAACAGTACAGCACAGTGTGCCAGGCACCAAAGTCATTGAGGCAAATTCTAAGACATAGTTGCATTTACATGGTGTGATAGCAAGGAGGTCTGTTGAGTTTTCTTTTGTTTTCCACCCATGGCAACCATATCTTGTCTAGCAAATGCCTATGTCTAACATTTAGTGTCCCCATAAGATCAATATTATGGTATTAGTCCACCCTGTCTTTCAATTTTTGCATGGAGGGTGAGCGAGTACTCTTCCTACTCTTCCAATCTAGGGCTATAAGATGACGGGCAGCCAGTGAGGCCTTTCGGGAGAACGAATGTGGACATAAAGTGAAGACAGTTACTGGGAGTAAGGGGTACAGGCGGGATTTCCATTGACTTGATAAGCTTTTCTGCTTCCAGTGATCTAATCTTTACGCATGTCCACCATATATGTAGCATGGTTTCCTCCTCCACCCCGCATCTCCAGCATATTGAGGGCACTGAAGGGTAAATTTGATATAGTCGAGTAGGGGTTAAATACCACTGATAGGCTAGTTTACATTTACATTTTATTATTTTATTCATGTTTTACTTGCTGTCTTATTTTGTGTTTTCTTTTAACTTTTGGATACCACTTATTACAAGCTCCTAGCATCACTCCTGAAACAATCGTTCTGAGTATTCTGTCTATTGATCATATAATTACAAGGGCACCTGTCAAGGGGTGGGATATATTAGGCAGTAAGTGAACAGTCAAGTTCTAGAATTTAATATGTTGGAAGCAAGAAAAATGGGCAAGCAATAAGATTGAGCCAAATGGTGAAAGGTAAATGAGTGGGTCAAAGCATCTCCAAAACAACAAGTCTTGTGGGATGTTCCCTGTATGAGCTTGCATAGCTGCAGATCAGTCAGAATGCTCATGATGTCCCCTGCCCACCATCAATAAACCTTTAATGGCAACGTGAGCATCAGAACTGGACCATGGAACAATAGAGAAAGGTTGCCTGATCTGATGAATCAAGCTTTAATTTAGATCAGGTGGATGGCTGGATGAAGGTGTGTCATTTACTTGGGGAATAGATGGCAACAGGATGCACTATAGGAAGAAGGCAGGTCAGTGGAAGCAGTGTTATACTTTGGCAATGTTCTGCTGTGAAACCTTGGGTCCTGGCATTCATGTGAATGTTAAATTGACATGTACCAACTGCGTAGGGAGTGTTGCAGACCACATACACCCCTTCATGGCAATGGTGTTCCCTGAAGGCAGTGGCCTCTTTGAGCAGCATAACGCACCCTGCCCTGAACCTAGCCAAACCGCACAAATTGTTCAAAAATGGTTGGAGGAACATGACAAAGAGCAGGGGCGTACCTAGAGCATGAGGCACCCGGGACGGGTCCTGAGTTTGGCACCCCCCTTCCCTCCTCCTCCAAAAAAACACCTACTAAATTTTTAAAATGTGTTTTTTTTTTAATTTTTAAAGATGTATTACACAAATTTGTAAACTTTTTAAAACCACTGCACCCTTCTACAAAATCCCTGCACCCCCTCACACACCGTTACAAGCAGACAGTCACACACAGTTACAAGCAGACAGTCACACGCACACAGTCACATGCAGACAGTCACATATATGGTCACAGGCAGTCATACACACAGTTACAGGTAGAGAGTTACACACACATACAGTCAGTTACAAGCAGTAACACACAGTCATGCACACCGATACAGACAGACAGTCACATATACATGTCACACACACAGTCAAAGATAGACAGTCATACACATAGTTACAGTTACACAGTTACAGGCAGCATCACACCGTCACAGGCAGACTGTCACACACAGTCACAGTCAGACAGGTACACACAGTCACAGGCAGTCACACACACACAGTTACAGGCAGACAGTTACACACACAAACACAGTTACAGGTAGACCATTACACACACAAACACAGTTACAGGCAGATCATTACACACACAAACAGACACACACAGTTACAGGCAGAGAGTTACACACACACACACACACAGTTCCAGGCAGACCGTTACACACACACACACACACAGTTACAGACAGTCACATACACACACACATCTACAGGCAGACAGTTATACACACACACACACAGTTACAAGCAGACCGTTACACACACACACACACACACATATACACACAGTTACAGGCAGACCGTTACACACACACACATTTACAAACAGTCACACACACAAATACACACACACACATTTACAGGCAGACAGTTACACACACACACACACACACACAGTTACGGGCAGACCGTTATACACACACACACACACAGTTACAGGCTGACCATTACACACACACAGTTACAGGCAGACAGTTACACACTCATACACACAGTTACAGGCAGAC